TCTCTCTCTTTCTCTCCTTCTCAGTCTCTCATTCTCTCTCTCTCTCACTCTCTCTCTCTCTCTCTCTCTCTCCCTCTCTTCAGACGTTCTTTTCTCTCCCCCCCTCTCTAGTCCCTTCCCTCCTCTCCTCCCCCCTCTCTTACACACAGCAATATGGTCTTGCATAATGCTTACTATAACTACTACAAAGTATGAAAATAATCAGTAATGTCTGAATGTGTAATGTGTCGAAGCGCAAGTATATTTCAAGTCGCAAGTTTATGACAGTCTGCAATTTATCATGCAGGTTCATGGCTTGTGGGCCATGGGTTTTAAAAACGGAAAAAGAAACCAATCAATCAATAGAATCAATTTCCCTTCAAACTCCCTCTTTTTCTTCTTTGTTTATTCCGATTTCCTGCTTGTTATGAACTTGAGGCAGTCCTTTTGTGTTTTCTATTTTGTTTTTTCTTCCCTTTCTCTTTCTCACCTCCTCTATCTCTCTTTCTCTATCTCCCCCCTCTCTCTCTTCTTTCTCTCTCCGTCTCTCTCTCCCTCTCTCTCTCCCCTTTCTCTCTCCGTGACTCTCTTCCTCTTTTTTTCTCTCACTCTCTCGCTTCTCTCTCTCTCTCTCTCTCTCTCTCTCTCTCTCTCTCTCTCTCTCTCTCTCTCTCTCTCTCTCTCTCTCTTTCTGTCTCTATTTTTTGCTCCCTCTCTGGCACTCTCTCTCTCCGTCTCTCACTAATTCTTTCCCTTCTCTCTCTCTCTCTCTCTCTGTCTCTCTCTCTGTCTCTCTCTCTGTCTCTCTCTCTCTCTTTCTCTCTCTCTCTCTCCATATCCCTCATTCTTTAGACGTTTCCTAATGTCTGCCCAACTTTCTATCTCCCATATTTTTTTTCTAGCAAGTGCTCACAAAGTAAGGTAAACTCGGATACAAAGCAAACAGCTTACGTGGGTTTTTATTTGCCTCATTTTGCTGTAGTTTTCTTTGTCTCTTTTTGCTCTGTTTTGAATTATGTAGTCTCCTCCAGTCAGAATGGATGCTTTCATTACTCAAGCCTTTCTTTCTTGTCTCATTTTGTCTTTTTTGCACTCCCCTTCTCTTCTGTTTCCTACGAAAAACGTTGTGTTTTGCGAGTTGTATCAACGGACCGCTGTCTATGATGTAGGAGTTAGGCGCTTCGACGTCGCACGCAAGAGACCCAAGTTCGATTCTCGATTGGGGAGGATTTTTTAAATCGAGTATCTCGGTCATTTTGCTGAAGTGTTGAATCCCTCTCAGCCCAAATTGGCCTTAATAGGCTGAGTTAAATCATGTTTCCTAAATGGTCGCTTTTAAGCACAAGGGGGCGACACCGATATCTGCTGTTTTGAAGAAATCGAAGGTAAAGTTTTTGGATCCTTATTCAGTCTCTTTAAAAGACATGGAGAGTTTTCTCTATAACCATACAAATATACACACTAATAAAATCAAACTTCTCCTATAGATAGGGCAATGCCCACGTTTGGTGACGGTCAAGATTTCTGGAAACCTCCAAAATCTGGGTTACCAACTTGTCCTTAAAGGCGACCTAATGATCTTAATTGTGTCAGCGGGAGCGTAGAAACACCTACTTAAAAAAGACGTATCTACAGTACACGCAGGTTGTTGGAAGGTGCCACTGGCTGATCTCATTTCTTTTCTTTGTCTCTGGCCTTTCTGTCTGTCTGTCATACATTTTCCTAGAATCAAATGACTTTATTGTGTGGATGAGCTTTTTTCTTACTCTTACTGGCTAGACAGAACTGGTCTAATTATGTAAGAAAATCGGATACGAAATTATTAAACCGACATGTCACAACAAATTGAAATATGATTTATTATACTAATATTTTTTTGTAGTCAACGAAATGCATAATATATTTTTAAAAGAAGAAATTGCTCTGGAGAAAGCAGTTTTCCAATCATTTTCTTTTTTCAATAGTTTTACTGTTTTGCCTATGAATGAATGAGTGGCATGCTGGAAGCTGTCTCAGCCGACGTGTGTGTGTGTGTGTGTGTGTGTGTGTGTGTGTGTTTATGTGTGTGTGTGTGTGTGTGTGTG